AATGCCGTATCAGTTGAACACAAGAAGCACTCCCAAAGTAGAGTGAAAAAAAAAACAAAAAAACAAGAGTGAAAAAGCTGTGCAATTTCAAAATCGACGCTAACAATATATTTCTCCTCAATACTTTCGACGAACCTTACATTTTGTACTTTCACGCAACGCTACGACGGAACAATATATTCCCTTCGCGGACTCTTAGCTAACGTGGACCAAAAGCTTCAAGTACAGGCTAATCTAGTCCGTTAGTACAGAGCTTGATTACAACAAAAGAAAGCAGCCCCATATCTTTTTTCAATAATAGGCAACTGCGATTTCTCTATGTTCGTCTTCTTCAGTGTGTAGTCTGCAATATCCCCTACCGCAATTAACTTAACGGCTACTGTTATTTGCATCTCATTTTTAAATTCGAGGAGATTTGTCGCATGGTAAGCTTCTGTGGTTGCGTTTTTCTGTTTTGTATTGTTGTATTTGTAATACTATTGTGATGTGGTCTGTTTGAAACAAAGCTTACAATCTCCATAGTTTCTGACATAGCTAAATTGTCGTGCAAAGTCAAGAGGCAAGTTCTTCTTTTCTAAACTTCTGTTGCCGCTTAGGTATTGGGAGGGAGGTAGTAAATCGGCGATTCTGTTTTTATTGGGGTCACATCTGAGGAACTAACGTGGCAATAGTCTGGAAGTTTACACCAAATTTGGAGAGGTGGTGGCATCTGCGTCAAAAACTAGTGCTAACAAATAAATAAGTAAAAATTAAAGCGATATTCGTGGTCAGTGCATCGAGTCGCCCACATGGGGGATGTTTCGGTAACGAATTTTTGAGTTTTTTTGGGGGGTGATAGTAGCTGAGTAGTACCAAAACTTTTTATGTGTTCGGATTGATATAATCCGCCAAATTAGTGCACCAAGTGACCCAGTATTGAGTTGGTATATGTTCTATAATGCGTTAATCCGTTCAAGAGACGTAAACTGTTGTTAAACTGGTGGTCAGACCAATGCCAATTCTCACTCAAGGCCTTACGCTGCGTTCGCACTGTGCGGCAGCGTCCACCACCGTCCACTAGCTTTAGAGCGTCCGGCTAGGAAAGTGTGGATACCGATCTAGCCTCGGCCAGCGTTTACCAGCGTGCATCAGCGTTCTGGAGAGGAGAGTATGACGCCATAGGGGGGGGGGTGGTAGCAGACAGCTGACACCTTCCTTTCGCGCCATACTCTCTACCAGCAGTCTGCAGTTGTATCTCCCCATACTCTACCGCCGTATGCTACCCTCCTATCTCCCCATCATGCTTCACCAGTTGTCTGCTACCCTCCTGTCACGCCATACTCTCCTCTTCCGGATGCTGGTAGACGCTGATGACCCTGGTACACAGTGGTAGGCGCTAGATCGACACCTCTACTTCCCAGACCCTCCAGACGCTGGTGGACGCTGGTAGACGCTGGCAAACGCTAGATCGATATCTACACTTTCCTAGTCGCTGACGCTGCCGGACGCTCGAAACGCTAGTGGACGCTGCCGCAAAGTATAAGCGTTGCCTTACGGATTCCCATTGTCCGTTGTGTGTTAGGCAGCGTTCAGACTTCGCGACGGCAGCGCTTCGGTCGCGCGTTCGACGCGATCGATGCGCATGCTTTCGACTGCATTGATCGCGTCGAACGCGCGACCGAAGCGCTGTCGTCGCGAAGTCTGAACGCTGCCTTTCTTCCTCCCTCATTTTTTTTGGCCTGTCAGAGCCAAAAGCCGGTTTCTTCCCAAATCAGAGGATATGAAAAACTACGGGATAAATTAGATAAGTACTTGTTGTTTCCGCCGCCGAAAAAGACGATCAAAAGTTTCAGTACCTATCGTATCGTTTTTGCAGATTCCCCAATTCTCCAGTGTCGGCCTGGGGGCGTTAGTTAGTCCTAGCCTTTTCGATTGCTTTTCACATCACTTGTCGATTCATTAAGGTTCAGTGAAGAGAGCACTTGCTGGTATATCGATCTGAATAATAATTATCTTACACATTTTATTGTTCAATGCGTCAGTTCGTCGGAGCTGTTCATGCGGACGCACTCTACGTGCAAAATGCCTTCGAACATTTTCCCCGTTTAACGACCGTCTCTTTCACAATGGCTATTGACTGAATTTTGCGATTCACCAGTTCTATTGACTGAGACTATGCCTGCAATCCTCGCGCTGCAGAGACGAGTGGAATCCGGAATTCTGTCTCCGCTGAGTGTACATTTCAGCGCTTCTAGTTTCTGCTGCTGCACCTTTAATTTTCCTATAAAATATGTATTGGCGCCAGTTGGAGGGTTGTAGTAGGGTGATTCTCCGACTTCTTACTAGTTAAGGTGTACTAGTTAAGCTGTACTTATGAAGAGTGATAAAGGGGGAAGGTTTCGGCATCGGTCAGTTCCTTTTTGAATGCGCTATCCATCCCGTTCCCATTCAGAATAGCATTCGGCATAAACGACGATTTAGCGGCCCAGGGGAGATGAACTGATCCAAGTTTTGACCCCTAAGCCGCGTGCGACTCCACACCCTGCTGCAACACCTCTGCCCTTGTAGATTAACTTCCAACGCCCATTTCTGAGAGATTCCCTGGTCATTAGTTGTGAGGATAATTGGAGTAGAGCTTTCTTCACTTTTCTATTTCTACCACCTCAGTCTTCCAAAATCAGGTCGGTTTTTTTGCGATTTTTTTACGAGGGCGGACTTTGCTGAAAATTCGTTCCAGGGGTAGTTCGACCTCCTGAACACGAATATCACATCCACTTGGCCCGAAACTGCCTGGCGCCCGCGCCACAGGCGCCAGCACTAAAATCCCTAAATCACCAAATTCGCTGAAAACCGTCATGCGGGGGTAATTTGGCATCCCGATTACAAATATTACATTCATCTTGAAGTTTGCGCTGATGGAGGACACTGCGATCATAATTGCTCTGCTAAGGCTGACCCTGGCCTGAAGGAAAACACTCCTTTTTAACTGCCTTAGGACAGCGTGTCCAAAAATGGTGTCCAAAAATAAATTCCATATTCATGATCAGGGCATCGAAAACT